TTTTTTTACCGCGAGCTTGTTAAATGCTTCTATAAACTGCAATTTGATTTGTGAAAATTGACCAAGAAAATGAAAAGTTATAGCAATTCAAAATTTACGAATTTTATAAAATTTCATGTTCTTATGTAACATTAATCTGTCAACTTGACAATGTTGGCATAAGGTGTCGAGGACGAACATTTGAGTATATACAGAACATTTATTAATTTTTTCTGCGAAGTGAGTCTCGACAATTCACCACAATTTTGGTAAAATTAATGTTGAAATGAAGAATATATTTCAGTCTAATGTTAGTGCAAAATATAAGGCCTTTGTAATCACCGCACGACGCACGACTAACATGGCAACTAACACGCGTGTGGGTAAATCGTCACATACGCTGACGGTTTATGGTCTGGTTGCTATGGTTTTTGTGACGTTCAGCGTGTCGATGCCAGAGTTATAACCTTTGATGTCCCGAGATGTGCGTCCTTTTGTTGAATTACCTTGGCTAAACAAGGCATAAAAAAGTCTTGCCTTATACAAGTATTGCTTTTTTTTTGTCCTCTTACAATAGCTGAAAACTTCAGTAGATAAATACTGTACTATTTGAAAAGCTTTTTATTAATAATTTTGATAAACTTGGTTTTGATATTATGTCAAGGCCTGTTGGTGAGCATTATTGCCTTTTTTTCTCCAGTATTTTTTAATATTAAAAATCTGTATCTTATTAGCTATTTTAGACCATTACTTAAACACCCCTTTAATGTTTTAGAAAATTTGTTTGTATTTCAAAATTTAAGAATTGTGCTAAGGCGTGGTATGATTGTTTACATTATCAAAAATCACCAATACAACTGGAAGATGAATGCTTGGCTGACCAAGTCCCTACTCCATTTACCTGTCAATAAATTTTATCATGATGTGCGTCTTGGAAATGCATGGACGTGTTTTTAAGTATGCATTCCATTTTGATTTGCCTATTTATAAACCATTAATGGATTTTAAAAGTCTGATAAAAAAAAGCAGTTAACTGTAGCTAATTAAAGACGCTGTCTCATTAGCTGTTATTAAGATTAATTTCCCTCCAGAATTCATTGTGTGTGCCAGATTCAGCTGCTAAAGCTATACTGTATATTTACAAGGATGGGTTGTTCATTGATTGAAGAGGGAATTGCATTACAGGAATGATGAGGGAATATTCGGTGATGAAGGGTAATAGCTTGAGGAAACTGACAATGATTTATATGAGAACTTTGCAGAGAGAGAGATAGAGAGAGAGGAGAAAATGGTGTGACTTAAAAGGATGAGAAATCTACAGTATCTGTAACTGTCAGTGGTTGCATCCAGTGGCCTACTCAAATTGTGAGTCTAAGAGTGCCTTTTCCGGCCTCTAGAGGTGTATAATCATAAATTTTCTTCCCTCAGCCCCAATTTTTGGTGCTGAGGTAGTGTAGACCCTTCATGTGTGAAAATCCCTCTCTGGGCCACCTCTATTTCAAATTCCTGGTTCCGCCACTGGCATCGGCATTTCCCTAACAACCATTTTTCTCTCCCACCTTAGCCCCACCATTTTCGCATTGAAGTGAAAAAGTTTATACTTTATTCTTTCTTCATTGTCAAAATAAGACGGCAAAATACAATCCACCGGGTGGTTGAACAGGAACTCAAAAGCAAATCTAGTCACTATTGTGTGAGCATGAGATCCTCAGCCACCCGGCTTCACATAAATTAATAAAAACACTTGCATTAACAAAAATAATAACAATAAAAAAGGCATATAAACATTAATATATAGGCCTATTTCAAATATATAGGATATCTGGCTATGTTGACTGCTTCTAACATTCCACTCCCCCT